ATACATGTAAAGACATGTATAAAATTCTTAATTAACCAGTTTTGTTCTTTGTGCATACAAAGCAGTAGGAGGTGCATGGGTTGCTTCAATTCCTTTAAGCAGGAGGACACAAATTCACCTCACTTTTTTCAATTTTTTTTTTAACCAACTGTTAATTTATTTTTTTGTGATTACTTTTTTTATGAATACCAAGTATAGCTGAACATCATACCATTTAGACTTAGACAAACTTTATTGTAATGTTGTATACACTGAGTGTATACAAAAAGAAATTTCAATGCATACAGCTCTTCAACACTGAATGAGCAGCTTACAGCAGCTAAAAGAGTATTTCCATTTATAAAGTGCAGCAGTGATCTGAAGGATATGGTGCAAATACATGAACATTATTTAGTTTCAAATCTATTTGTTAATTGTAAATGTGAATTTGAAGTTGTGTATTTGTCGAATTAAAGAAAAAAAAATGACAAATACAATTTCTTTTTACACCTGTTCAAATTTTAAGTACAAGTACACAAATTCTGTTCTGGTTAGTGGCCCCCACTATAGTGTCAGTATGCAAAATTAATTATGCGATTGGTGGTGAACCTGGGGGCGCAGTGTTATGTCATCAGAGTGAATAGCAGGGGGCTCAGGACGCAGTATTGAGGGGATTCTGTGCTTAGGGTAATGACAACTGAGGTGTTCTGTCCGACCCAGACTTACTGAGGTCTGTTGTTGAGGAAGTCTAGAATCCAATTGCAAAGGGGTGTGCTGAAGCCCAGATGTTTCAGTTTTTCTATCAGATGCTGTGGGATGATAACCTGACAACAGCCAGATGCATGTCTAGCTCCGCCTAGCTCCACTCACATACATCTGGGACCCCGTCATAGGAATTGCCTTTACTGAAGGCTGGGCCTTATCAAAACTCCTTGCATATGATTGGAGAAGCCACTTGTCTGTCATCTTTATCGACGTGCTATTTCAACCACTCACACCGAAGCTAACCCGTGACGCTGTGAGAGCGTCGGTCGGGAGAAGGGCGAAAACATCGTTTCCACCAACAAAAGCCTTCAAAGCCGTTCTCTGATGTTCTTTTAATGAAAG